GACCAAAATATCTGAGCTTGAGCTTCATTATCGATCCTTCCAATGAGCAATCAGGGTTGAGCAAAGATCATAAAGCTTGCAAATGTTTGTGACCTTTGGCCTGGCAAAGGGATTGTGTGTACCTGCATATGCCATTGGAATTAATTTGCATTTCAAAAGACAAAAGGATGTTAAAAAGCAGAGGAAGAAGGCTTGAAATCAGAACTAACAAAGACTGAAATATCCAAAATTCCACAGAGCAATAACTGCTCAGGTAGGCAGGAGCCCTTTAAAAACTTTGCCATCTAGGTAGGGTTCAAAGGCCAGTCCACATGAATGGAGTAAGGCTAGTCCAGATCTTGACAAATTCTTCCTGCCCATGGCAAGATTCCATATTGCCATTCTGTTGCCTTCTTGTGCAGGGTAACTGCAAACAGCTGTATTTTATTCTACATTTAGTGGCTACTGACACATCAAGTCAGAGCCGTTCTCAAGGTATAGTGGTATGCTTTCGAAAATGTCATCGCCTACTTCCAAAATCTCTGAAAATGCCAGGAGCCTTTAGCTGTTTGTAAAACACACTAAGCCACAAATCAGCCAACCACATTTTAGCCTAGTATATACAAACCAAACCCCTAGCTTTAATTGTGTAAACAGAAAAAATTGGGTTAACTGCCCATGATTCAGTCAACCAAAATAAGAATATAACGACTGAGACAGGAAAAATCTGGGCATCAGTGACAGTTGTTGGCTAGGGTTTGAGCCAAGCCAAGTCATGGGGACTGTGATTAAAGGTATCTAAGACTCTATGAAAGATTGTTACTAGAACAGATACTACACATTCCTATGTAGACCAATTCTAAACATTTACAAAGTATCCAATTGCTTTAAAAGAAAAAAGATATGAAGAAGTTTATCTCCACTTCCTAGAATCAGGAGAAATTGCAGCCACATTGTTTCTTCTGCATTGTTCCCCTCACCTCACCTCACCTCACCCCACCCCACCCAATCATAAATTCAATTCGTACAAATTGAAGAAAAGCAGAGAGAAAAACATGATGGAACATTGAAAAAAATGCAAGGGACTTTTTTTAACAACCAAAACTATTTCAAATAAAAATAAATAGCTCTACAAATGCTGCTGCTGCTTCTTTTTTTTTTTGTCTCTGCCTTCGAGTCAGTGTTTACTGCTGGTGACTGCCTGGATAAGTCCTGGCAGTTTTCTTGGCAAGATTTCAGAAGTGGTTTGTCCTTGCCTCCTTCCTAGGGCTGAGAGAAAGTGACTGGCCCAAGGTCACCCATCTGCCTTTGTGCTTAAGGCGGGAGTAGAACTCAGTCTCCTGGTTTCTAGCCTGATGCCTTAACCACTACACCAAACTGGCTCTCATACAAACGCTAGCCTATACTTTTCTTACACAATGGAAGAAGCATTGCCATTCCAGATCTGAGGCTCACCTGTTCTGAAATGATTTCCCAGCCACATTATCCCTGTAAGAGTCAAACAGGACATGATACTGGTCCCGGCTCCACTCCAATACAACCTATGGAAGAATGTTTGACATTATATTCTAAAATAACTGAATTGAATTGGATTTTAAAACTAATTTAACCTGTAGATGGAAATGCACAAAAAGAGGCTTAGGTTTGCCCTTTGTTACTGAAAAGTTTGTAGGGTATTTTATGAAGTGGAATAAACTATTTGATTGAGTTATTCCTGAAAAGGAAGTTCTCCACTATTTTATTCAAACATATCAAGCCTCATTATTATTAAGGATCCTTTTAACCAGGATATATTCAGTGTTTAATTGAGTGTTTCTCAACCCTGAAGATGTGTGGACTTCAACTCCCTAATTCAGTGTTTCTCAACCTTGACCACTTGAAGATGTGTGGACTTCAACTCCCTAATTCAGTGTTTCT